TTTTAGGGAAGGGTCTACAGGGTGTTCAGGGTCTCACTACTAGATCGGACTTGTAGTGATCCACCTGTTTACAGCTTCCCAAGAGCTGGGATTACAGGTGCACACCACCATGCCCAGTCTCAATTGCCATCTCAGTGTACCCGGGGATGGGGCTGGCACAGCAGGCCAAGGGATTGAATTCCCGGCCCTGTGCCTGCTTGCAAGCACTTTAATCAGCTGAGCTATTTGGCTAGCTCTTATATAGAACTTTTTAATGAACTTTTCCAGAAGAAAAAAAAGAGATGAAAACGGAATGAATTTCTAGATCTGAAAAGGTAAAAATGTATATCAATGGAATATAAAGCCTATATATAAAATAAAGGTATCTGTTTTATAGTATAATTAAATAATTAATTTATCAAGTAAATTTGTATGTATATCACTTATATATCATCTAGACATACAGGTTTTTAGTACTTTTTAAAAATTAATACTAGCCACAGAATAATGCTTGCTCAACTCCATGAGATGTCTATATCCTTGTCCTATCCCTGGAATCTGTGAACATGGTACCTTACATAACAAAAGCACTTTGAGATAGATTAAATTAAGGATTATGCAATGAGAAAATTATCCTGGGTTATTTGGGTGGGTTCAATAAAATCACAAGAATCCTCCAAAGGAAAGAAAAAGTCAGGAGAGTAGGAGGCAACATACTAAAAGAAGCAGAAGGTCAGTGGTGTGAATGCTGACTAGCAGGAAGAAATGAACTGAAGAATGTGGGAATCCTCTGGAAGGTGGAAAGACCAGAAGATAGATTCCTCTCTAGAGCCTCAGGATGATTGCAAGCCTGCCTGTGCTTTGATCTAAGACATGTTCTTAATTACTTTTCTCATTGTTGAGACAAAATACATGAAGTCCAAAATTGAGGAAGGAAAGGTTTACTTTAACTCTCACTTGATGGAGATTTCAGTCCATAATCAGCTGGCTCAAAGGCAGAGTGGCATGGCAGTGGATACTGAAAGCATGAAAGAGCAAAAAGACAGAGGAACAAGCCTCTTTTCTTCCCTTATATAGTATGCAGACCACCCACTCTAGGGCAAGTGTAGCACTCATGCCCCCCAATTCCAGCACTACCCAATAAGCCAATCACAAACTCCATATTTGAGAAAAAGGCCTGGGAGGCCAGGCAGTATGCCACTGAGAGGGTAGAATATGAAGCTATGAGTGTGAAGCCAAAGATGTAGTGGAAATTCCAGAAGTTTGAAGAAGCCATGATTGTGGATCATCTATGAAAGTTGCAAGTGGGGAGCAGGGCTAAGAGAGGAGCTCTGGGAGCTACCACCAGCAGAAGTGCCATAGGCTTCTGAGAAAAGCCTATCCTCCATGAACATATGAGGCTTTGGGGGGACATTCAGACACAAACTGTAACATTTCAAGCCCAAGCCCAAAAAAAAACTCAAGTAAATCGCTTTATAAGAAGACATTTAATCCATCTGCAAGGGTTGATAAGCCCTAAAAGTTTCAGCATTGCTAAAAAGTACAACTACACATCTCCTCTTAGATGTAAGGCAAATTCTTAGTTCAAATCCCTGTACAAATGAAAAGTTAAACACTTCCAGCATTCAATGGCACAAGATAAACATTTTCATTCCAAAAGTTTCAAGTGGAATACAAAGGATTAGGACCAATATATGTCCAAAATCCAACAGGGTAAACACTAAGTCCTATAGTTCCACATGGAGCAACCAAGGCAATCTGTGACAAATAGTGAGCTCCAAAGGGCTGGACTCTGCCACTTAAAATTCTGCCAGAATAATTAGTCCACCATCCTTAACCTCAGTGTCTGGAAAAGTCTCCGTAAATGAATAATGTGCATACAAACTTTCTGCCACACCATAACACGCATTGCCTGGAGTCCAACAGCCAACACAGTACTTTTTCCCAACAAAAACCTCCTGAACCTTGTCTTTATTGGTACACTTTCTATCAGTCTTCTGACCTTTAAGTTCTGCCCAAGATCTCCCATCCAAAACAACCTAAGGTGTTCCAGCTCTACTCTTTTAAGCAACAGCTCTGAACCTTTACAAACTCTTCCCTCAAGCCACTTCCTAAGGCTTGTGGTGAAGTATGGTTACCAGCAATGACCCCACTCCTGGTACCAAATTCTGTCTTGTTACTTTTTTGTTGCTGAGACAAAATACATGAAGCCTTAAATTAATGAAGAAAAATTTTATCTATCTCACAGCTGATGGAATTTTCTGTCTATATTCAGCTGGATCCAATGCAGAGTGGCATGGCAGAGGGGCAACAGTTCATGGCAGTAGAAGATACTGAAAGCAACAAGAGAAAAAAGACAGAGAAGCAAGCCTCTTTTTCTCCCTTATATTGTATATAGGTGACCCACTTTAGAGTAGGTATGGCACTTATACCCTGAATCTCAGAATTAGGCAGTGAACCAATAACACACTAGATTCAGCTACCCAGGAAAAGCCTGTCCCCCATTCCTACATGAGGCTTTGAGGGATCATCCAGGCACAAGCCATTATACCCACTGAGATCCATTTTGAACTTTTGACCTCAAGAACCATAAGATAATAGCTTTTGTGCTGTTTTAGGCCATTACATTTGAGGTTGTCACAGTGTAGGAGTCAGCCTATGAGTTTATACCTGACTGTGGGTCAAACAAGGATGTTTTCATCGTTCATTTTCTAAAGAGACACATAATTAGATTAAAATGTGAGGGGCCAAGGGGTTCTTGTCTACCTTAGAGAGAAAGCCCTGAGTAACTGGCTTACCCTGCCTTTATTCACTCAGACAAGGGAATAAGCAGTTAGAGTAACACAAGATTCATTTGTCTTCCACCATCCACAGTACATATCTGGGTAAACAACTACATCTCAGCTGTGTTGACTCCTTCCTAGAACCTCAACATGCCAGCACACTTCCGTGCCACCATTCTCCTTAATGATCACAGAGGAGGCAAATTAGACC